TATTTATTAAAGAGTTGCCATCCAATTTGTATTCTGTATAATTTTTAAGAGCGAAATACACCACACAAGCGGTTTGACAAACCAAGCGAAATTTCCCTTTGCTTCAAGCCATTTGTGCTGTGTATGGGGGTGTTTGAAGGTTTGACAAACCGCTTGAGGGAAATTTGAGCAAAAATCAAAATTTTTTGATTTTCTGGCCGCCATGTTGATGTTTGATCAAACCGCTTGCGTTGTGTATAGCAAAATCGCATCATTCGCAACGAAATTTTCACCGAGTAAGGACGTAAGAGAGGAAAATGAAAGAAAACCATAATATTTAGCATTGCGAACTGGAAGAAAACTAAAATTCTTTGCTTGAACGAGTCATGTTTGCATGGTGTATGGCGAAATGGGAAAAGTAGGTTTGAAGAATGTTTGACAAGCCGCTTGTGTGGTGTATTTCGCTCTTTAGTAAAGCAAAATACACAGCACAAGCGGCTTGACAAACCTGGTGAAATATCCCTTTTGCTCAAGCCAGATAGAATAAAAGATTGCGCTGATTAATGTGAAATTCGGGAGAGTAACGTCAATATGACGTCATCGGAGATTTGCCGGCGGACAGAGTTGAGAGAGATCTATCAGTATGTATATGTTTTGCATGTGTATGGGCTTGTTCTAGTTGCAATCACAACCGCAGTTATCACGTTCGGTGTTAATTTCTAGCAACATTTTATCCTTTTTTCCTTTTGCTCCAAGCTATTTGTGTTGTGTATGGGGGTGTTTGATGGTTTGACAAGCCGTTTGAGGGAAAATCCAACAAAAATCAAAATTTTTTGATTTGTCGACCGCTATGTTCAAGTTTGATCAAACTGCTTGCGATGTGAATGATAAATTAGCTCCATACAATGGAATTTTCTCAGAGCGAGGACGTAAGAGAGAAAAATCGAAGAAAATCATCAGCCTTATCATGAAACTCATTTAACCGACTTCTCACTCCTGGTTTCCATAGTTTTACTATGTGGATGACAAATTTGTTCAAATCGCTTGCGTTGTGAATGATAAACTCGCCTCGTTTGCAACGGAATTTTCACCGAGTGAGGACATGAGAGGGGAAAAGGGAAGTAACACAATTTTTAGCATTGTGAACCGGAATAAATTTTAAATTCTTTGGTTGAACGAGTCATGTTTGCATGGTGTATGGCGAAATGGGAAGAGTAGGTTTGAAGTATGTTTAGCAAGCCGCTTGCGTGGTGTGTTTCGCTCTTTATTAAACAGGTAAAAGGTTCGATTAGAGATGTCGAGAAATCATTGAAAATATCGACGTTTTGCTTCGATGCATCGAAAATGTTTTGCTTCGATGCCTAGAAAATTTACCACTCGCAGCCTAAATAGTCGATGAATCGAGACATCGATGTTTTCTGTAAACTGACATCTCCAGTCCATCGAACGGCCAAACATCGTTTTGTTCAAAGAAATCAAGATGCAGTTTCATAGCTCATAAAATTTTTGAATAATAAAGTGCAAGTTTCAATTGCTTTGATTTGTAATCTTTTTTTTTTGCTGACTTTCACTTTAATATACCAAAATTTTATAAAACTGCACACTCAAAAACGTTCTAAAAACTCATATTAAAATGTTAAAAATATTGATGAAAATTTGTTGAATTTTATATAACATAATTATATCTTTTCAGGTATGTAACTTGAGAATAGAAATCGCTGCATCTTTTAGGCGCATCAATATTACATAGTTACATCCCGAGCTAATAAAAGAGGCGGTAAAAAGGGCGGTAAAAATGATAAAATATGACTTCCTCTTCGATAAATAATCGAAAAAAAAATAGTGAAGGCACCGATTGGAATGAGTGGAACGTGAGTTTTCAAGTAGTTTTCAGCGAAAACAAATTGAAAAAATGTTAATTAACATCGGAAATTTTAAAGTAATTGTGGAATGCATTATCTGTAAATTACATGGCGTTCTGGTAATACCATGTTCTGACCGACAACGAAAACACTTTGACAACGAGTTTTGGAATTGTGGGCTGAAGGCTGTTCACACCGGCTGTTAGTGTTTTCGTTGACATTTCTTACATCCTCTCATTGCAGTTTTGCTACACAAAAACAAAACCAAAATGCTTTTCCCACATTTTCTTTTCATTAGCAACATCTTACTTTCATTCTTATTTTACTTTGGCCAGCCAATTAACAATAAATACGAAATAGCGTATTAAAAATGATAAAATATGACTTGCACTTCGATAAATAATCGAAAAAAACTAGTGAAGACACCGATTGGAGCGAGTGGAACGTGAGTTTTCAAGTAGTTTTCAGCGAAAACTGGTTTTCGTTTGACAGATTTTACATGGACGAAAACACATGTTTTAGGTCGAAAACTAGTTTTAGCAACGAAAACATGTTTTCGATGTCGGTCAAAACATGGTATAAGACAGATCGTGTCAGCTGACTCATGTTTACGTAGCGGTAGATTTACATTCTTGACTAATTTCAAATTTAAGTACCTGTTCACGTGTAGTTATAAGGTGTGATCCAGTATGAAAACCTATACAGCAACCACATGAAGATAATTTTAAAGTTATTTCAAGAACAAGCAAAATTTTTAAAATTCAAATATATGGAGAAAGTAAGATAATTTGAATATACCGTTTAAAACCTGTTTTCAAACCCAAAACCCCACGTCGAGTTACATTTAATACAAATTTATGATAAGGTTTATATCGTTATCACTAGGAAGGGGTTACTGTGGAGCTTCTACTCTATTATATTTTACCTTAAATAATTAACAACAATTACAAATTGGAAATTGTTTTAATTCGTTTTTTTGTCAAGAAAAAAAAAATTTTCGGTTGGTTGAATTAATTGAATATACATAACGTTAAAATATTAAAAAGTATTTTATTCAAATGTACGGGCAATGTGCATAAAGCCTTAGTTTTCGATATCGAGAAAATGGTTAGGTATCTCATCGTATTATAACGTTTAATTCTAATTGGTTTATAATGTCTAGTGTCTAGTGAAATTTAAGAAACTAGATATATTGGACTTCTAATGTAAAACAAAATGTTTCTCTAACATTAGACTGTATTTTCTGGGTGGTTTAAAGTTATTTTAAACGCTGGAGCTGGCTGGTTTAAACTAAGATTAGCTAATCAAATGTCAGCCAGCTGTTAAATTTAAACTTATTTTACGTGATCTAATTTTAAACTGGCACTGAAAAACTGGCGTTTGAGGAAATTTTGGAAAATGCGCTTGTATAAAGTTTTAGCGAACTTTCCAGGATTTGATGGTATGCGAAATACAACCCATCAACGTTTTATGTCAACAAAAAAAATCT